GAAGTCTACAAGAGCTTCTCTCAGTTCACACATTTTTAAAAAGGTGTTAAAACAACTCCGACTGCTCTAGTCCGCTGAAATAAAGTACAAAAAGAAGACAAAGCAGAGAAAAACAGACTGCAAAAAAAAAGTTGCAGTTGCCTAAAGTGCGTGGGCCTAATCTGTACCGTTACTTAGAGTCAAACCCTTATTACTTCAGGACCTAAATCTAATGAATCAAGCAGAATATCTCCACACTGACAGCCAGACAGTGCATGGCTCCACCACTTATAGCTCTTTTCATTAGTCCATTYAAATGCTCTTATTGAAATGGCTGGTCCAGACAAACGCAAAGAGGCTTAATATGTCTGTCTAACCTTTGCTTTAAAMAAGACAGGAATGTCTACTTTAAAACAAGCCAGGCTGAGTTATAATTTTAAAAAAAGCATCTAAATGTAATCTCACATAGTATCACTGTATTGTTTAAAATAAGAAAAGGTTGCTTGCTGACGATGAAAATGTAGAAAGTTCAGCTCATTTGGCAGTTCCATCGCAAATAATTTGAAGTACGTAATAGTTCAGAAAACAGAGAAAACCGATGGAATGAAAAATATTGAGCCAAACAGAATCTAAAGACATCTTTGCAGCACCTGGAGAGACCAAATTCAAATTGTCTGCACTCCTASAGACTMCAAGTGCACAACAAAATGTATTTAATGGCTAAAAAGGTGGATTTTGCATATGTCCCCTTTAAAACTCATGTTACAAAAATATATTAAACTTAGGTTGTTTTACTGATTAGTCCAGGAGCAGACAGTTCTTACAATTTACTTTGGCCCCAACAAGATGTGAAATGGACTGGAAACCACACATTGGGTGGTGGTCTTGGGCAAAAAGCCTTTCTGCTTAGATCACTGCTTCTGTTGCGTCAAAATGATTATCTTGTCGTAGCTCCTGCACTGACCTCCAACACTTTTAGATCCAATGTCTTTTTGAGATGTCGTAGAACAACCTGGTCCTCAAGAGCTGCTATCCTGTTCGTTTTAGAGGTTTTTCTACCACAACACATCTGATTTGAATGAATAAGTGATTAGAAGGCTTCTGCACATTTTGAAGTGGTGATTCAATGATTGAATCAGATGTGTTGGAGCAGGGAAGCAAGTAAAACATGCAGGATGGCAGCCCTCAAGGACCAGGATTGGACACCTCTGTCTTAGAGGTAATTGCATGAGGTCCCCTGAGCAACAACTATATTTAAAGGCTTTTTCTGGTTGTATTTTCAAAAGGTTAATATAGGATCTGTGCTTCACAGGGCTGACATTTTACTTGAGTGCACAAATTTTAGTTACTTGCTTAGGCTGCTGCAGTTACAAACATCACTACTTTGTATTTTAGATGGTTCTTTTAAAAAGGGGACACAAGCAAAATCCACTTCTTAGCTGTTAAATGCATTTTGTTGTGTACTTGGATTCTCTAGGTAGCGTTACAGTCATGACCACCAAACCAGAGGCCAAGTCGAGACCAAGACATACTAGATATTTTTTATGATTTATGTAGCCAAATTGTTTTACTGAAATTTTACAGACAGCTGGTAACAGAAATACATAAAAACCAATGATCAGGTTTGGATTTGAATCAGTGTGTTTTAAATCCAAAGAAAGCAAGATTGTCAAATAAATTGGACAATAATCTGGCTATTTAGTGATGTTTCCAAAGTTGTGGTCTCGACTGGTCTTGAAATAATATTCAGAGTCCTCAATGTCCGAGTCCAAGACAAGACCATCAAAAAAGTGGTCTTAAGACCAGTCGTAAGACCAAGACTGGTCTCAAGTACTACAACACACTATCTCTAGCAGAGCAGGAAATTTGAATTTAGTCTCTTCAGGTGCTGCAAAAATATACTTGTATTCTTCTTGAGTCATACTTTGGTTCATTTTTTATTATTATATTTTCTACAAACTATTACATCACAGTATTTGAGACAGAACTGCCAAATCAGGTCTGGACTTATGAACTACAATTTGGTCATCTTCATTCTCCTGTGGTTCTGGGTCAGACTGGCTCCAACACGTAAGACTGGATTGCAGTTCTACTTTATAAAGATCCCCAACTGACAGGTTAAAATGTGAAAAAGAAGGATTTAAATGCATATGTCTCTTTTAACCCAAACCACCAGTTTTGTTGGTGGAAAACATCTATGTTAGACATTTCTATATAAGATACTGCATGAATGGAAAAAAAATGTTAAGTGAAACAAATAAGCTGTTCTTAAGGTCAGTTTTCATTCTCTCCCTTAAACCAGGTATATCTGAGATGGTTAAAGAAAACAAGTACATTACTCCTTTAGTTTAAGCTAGATGAAAAATAAGTGTATTTTTGCTTTAACCAATTATTCCGTAATCAAATAAAATCCCTGAGTCACTCGTTCCATTTAGCTCTCCTTAAATCACCAAATAACAGGAGACAAATAGAAATGACTGTTTTAATTTTGCCTGTAAGCATTGTTCCACCCTCTATCCATGTCAAATCAGTTTAGTTTGAGGCGTCTCGGGAGACAAATCCAGGACCATTTCCGCTGACATCTGCAATCGATTGGTAAAGCCCATAACAGAAGCACGAGGTCGTGTTCAAACCTTTCGCTGTGGCATTCTGTGGCCAAATGTTTTATTAAGTCCAAGGCACAGAAACTACAAATCAGCATCCAGATGGTAAACAACAACAGGATACCTGAAGAGCAGGGATTTCTATTGAGCACATGTAAATTGGAATACAAAAGGACTGATTCTTCAAAAAGAGGCTGGTCTAATAAAGCAGCTGATTACAAGATGTGACCAGAGGCTTGAAATTCGTCCTTCTCTTCCATCTGTCTTCACTGACTTTCAGAACGCAGCGAGCGTGCATACATAAGCCTATATGCTGATACGGGGCCAATTTTCTACCTGGTGACTCGGTTTCTCTCTCTCTCCACACCCTGCAGAAAAAGCTGCGCTGTGATTAAATCCAGCTCTGCATGGTAGCAAAAGAAAAAAAGTGATTTACCGGCACCGATATCTTCGCATTCCCTTCACAGTGGCTGACTCTCATTGATGAAAAAGGTGACATTCGTCTCCTTTTGTGTCCCATATGTGCACAATGATAGAAGTGACACACATTCAAAGACCTCCTCCGTGCACACACATTTTTACTCCATTTTTTCCTTGAATACAAACACAAACGGCAGGGAGCTGAGCAGCAGCAGCAGCGGCGGCGGTGGTGGTGGTGGTGGTGCACTGCAGATCCCTGCGCAGTGGGACTGACTCATGTCTCTAGGCAAACAAAACRAATAGAGCCAGAATAAAGAGGAGAGGAGACTTGTTTTCTTTAATCCACCTCCAGGCTGACCTCAGGTCAAATACTGCATAGCATCTTCTGTGCAGGCTATTAGTCTAGAGGCAATGCTTTCCAAATATTTGCTCTGGATTTTTCTATCCAACAGTCCCTGATGAACATACGCCAGCTCCAGTCCCATTTTCATTTGCTCCACCAATTAGCCAAACATGCACTCACAAATGTAGAAACAATTACTGTACACAGCTTTGGAAGACATGAAATATTAGCTTAAAGGCTGGGAGAGAAGGTAAATATGCACGAACACACACACTCATCAGATTTCAGGCATCCAGCCATGTCATTAACGTAGCCTTTTTTTTTTTCCTAGTGACCACACACACTCATTAGTGCTCCCAATAAACACTGCTGCACACATTTTGGTGTAATAAATTACATCAGCACCGATGAAAAATAGGACCAAAGGGGCGCACGCCGATGCTCTGTTTACTGACTTCAATAAAGTTTGTTTGCTGAGCAGAAATTCAGCAGCAGACGGGGCAGAAGCAGCCACTAAATTTGTATCATTTTTTTTTCTTCAGAAACCTCTAGTGCATCGGTGTCCAAACATTTTGTCACATGGGCCAAAATCATAAAGTCAGAGGGACTTGAGGGCCAAAATATTTTCCCTTTACCTGCTCAACAATAAACTAGGCATTAAATACTATTAAACAAAAAAAGTAGTCAAATTTATTGCTGGAAATGGATGCATAAATTAATCTAGATCCAGGACTTTAATAGTGTTTTGCAGGTTTCCCCAACTGAAAGAAATTTAGCAATTTTCTAGGTTTCAGTTGGGGGAAAAATAACCCAATTTAGTCAATTCTGATCAATAAAATCAGAATTTAGGTCACTCTTTCTGTGAAAATGCTTTCTGTATTTAATAAATTAATTAAAAGCAGATTGGAGTGCAGCAAAATCAGCTTTTCAGTAGAAGTCACCAGATAGATGTGGAAAAAGCTGAGAGTCTGGTTATTTAAAAGACAAATAATTTGTATTGTTGCCAATATTTTTTATTGTAAGATTTTACTTTTTGATAAATTTGCCCCAATAATAAATAGAAAGTTTCCATCTACATCAAACACCTGTGCCGGGGGAAAAATTGGTAAACAAATTAGTATAATTCTTGAACTGAAGTCAGGGGCCACACAAAATCAGTTCAGGGACACAAATGGCCCCTGGGCCACACTTTGGACATCCCTGCTCTAGCGGTTCCTGCAGAATGGTTTGAAACAAAAGGTCAGCTTATTTAAAGCTGCAAATGTAAAATATTTGCAGTAAGCTCTTCATAGGCTTTCCCCACTTGGCTCGTGTTTGCCTTCATGTGTTTGTATACGTGTGTGTGTGTGTGTGTGTGTGTGTGTGTGTGTGTGTGTGTGTGTGTGCTGGAGGCACTGTGAGTGCGCAGCTTCAGCTTCCTGTCTGCATGACAGTAATAAGCTGTGTTTATACCGGTGGCTATCCTAATTATGGTAATGCTACGGATTGGTGCCAGTCTGCTTTCTGACAGCCTCACAGCTGCCACACGATTGGGGGGGGGGGCACCGCTTCCTCCCACCCCAACCCACTCCCACACACAAACACATAAACCTGGCAGGAAAGAAAAGAGATAGATGGATGAAATACAGCTTTTCTAGAAGGCGAGCCCCTCCTACCTTGCTGTGCTGAACGAGCCGGTGGGCACAGAGAACATTCTCCAGTCCTACGCACCGGGGCTCTCCACCGTCAGCTGCAGCAAACACATCTGGAGAGAATGAGCAGGAGAAATGATGACACACACTGGCTTTTTTCTCCTTCTTCCATACCACCTCTTCATTTGCTGCTTAGGTTTAGCTCATTCTTCCAACCATAAAACACAAACACTGGTTCGTCAGAATCTGTTCTGTTCCAGTCACACAACTTAAAATACATCTCCAAACTAAAAATATCATCAGCTATCCTAAAAAAAAAAGAACGTTTGGCAGTCCTAACTAAAGACTTTAACCTTTACTTGTTTTTAATGAAAGATGAGTTAATTTTCTTTTTAAATCCATTCAAATATTTATGTATATTTCCACATTAAACTCATTATGGAAATAAATTTTAAAAAGTCAACATCCCAAGGACAGTCTACAGCAGTTGGAACAAACACGTCATTTATCATTAAAGAGTGGGAGAAAGGCCAAAGTGACTGCAGGAAACAAAGCAAAAAAAAAAATCCTCATGTGGAGATGAACTTCACACTTTCAAGGCTGTCAAAATAAAACAGCTTTAAACACAGCACAGATTTTCTAAAAGATATCAGCTGCTTTCATTTCTAATACTCGTGCATCAGGTTCAATAAAACACGATGACAGACTGCTTCCTTTGAAGAATAAAAAAAAAGGAAAAAGAAGTCTTTTTGTATTTTCTGTCAGAGAAGCATTAATTCACCCCTGCCTGCCTGAGTCCATGCGCCCTCTAGAGGTGAAGAATAAAACTGCAGGCGCTTTGATCACTCCAACTGCAGTAATGAGGCCTTCAAGTCATTAATCCCTTTGTGTTCAATTATGTCTGAAGAGACAGCAACACTAATGAATTGCTATAATTAAGATRACACTTAACACTATGAAACAGACTCTTTTGTTTTGTTTTTCTGCAATAAAATAGCCCCAAAATATAAAGGGATTGTAAAGTTAGACATAAAYGTCTTAAAAGCTATTCTAACTTTTCTGTAAAACAACAGTCTGTTCACTAAAATAAGAGAATAAATGAATTTCTAACAAACTTTAGAAATTATTTTATACAAGACTGAATAGCGTTGATAGGAATAACGTAATTCTTAATGATACCCTCCAGTTTGGGCTTTAATCAGTGTTCCTACAGTTTAAGGCAAGTTAAATTTAAGACTTTTTAAGACTTTTTAATGCCAACTGAAATTAAATTTAAGACTTTTTAAGACTTTTTAATGCCAAGTGAAATCAAATTTAAGAACAATTTCACAATAAACACAAATGACCAAAAAAAATTTTAAAACAGTGGCAGAAACTCATGAAGTATTTTTGGTTGAATTATTC